ATATTTTGATACTACAGACACGAATCTGATGACGATATATCGGTGACACTGTAACATTTTGATACTAAAGACGTACTTCTGATGACGATATATTGGTGACACTGTTATATTTTGATACTAAAGACGTACTTCTGATGACGATATATTGGTGACATTGTAACATTTTGATACTAAAGACGTACTTCTGATGACGATATATCGGTGACACTGTTATATTTTGATACTACAGACATACTTCTGATGACGATATATTGGTGACACTGTTATATTTTGATACTAAAGACGTACTTCTGATGACGATATATTGGTGACATTGTAACATTTTGATACTAAAGACGTACTTCTGATGACGATATATCGGTGACACTGTTATATTTTGATACTACAGACATGCTTCTGATGACGATATATTGGTGACACTGTTATATTTTGATACTAAAGACGTACTTCTGATGACGATATATTGGTGACATTGTAACATTTTGATACAAAAGACGTACTTCTGATGACGATATATCGGTGACACTGTTATATTTTGATACTACAGACATGCTTCTGATGACGATATATCGGTGACAATGTTATATTTTGATACTACAGACATGTTTCTGATGACGATATATTGGTGACACTGTTATATTTTGATACTACAGACATGCTTCTGAGGACGATATATCGTTGACACTGTAACATTTTGATACTAAAGACGTACTTCTGATGACGATATATCGGTGACATTGTAACATTTTGATACTAAAGACTTTCTTCTGATGACGATATATTGGTGACACTGTTACATGTTGATACTAATGACGTGCTTCTTAGGAACTATCATTAAAGTGTCTTTGAAAAAAGTTTTTACGGTAGATCATCATAGCAAAAGGAAAAGCTATTGGGCATTTCCTAAAATTGGATATTTATCTATAAATTAACGATATACATATGGGAAATTATCACCATTACCGTATCATCAATGCACTGAGAAAGTGTTGTTAGAATTGACAAACAGACACNCCCCCCCCCCCCCCCCCCCCCCCCCAAAAAAAAAGAACCTTTAGCTCACCTTATCTTGTATATGCCACTGTATAAAAGCTCGATGGCCTTACGTTTCTTTTTGTGTATACCTGTTACTTTTACCGAACCATTCTTAGATATATATTGGTGTTTTTTTCTATCTGTGGGAATTGGAAGTAACAGGCGTTCCTTCCATCTCATTCTCTGATTACTTTACGTTTATCCTTCAGAAGCCCTTGTTTTTACTGTTCGTTTATCTTTCAGAAGCCTCTGGTTTTACTTTACGTTTATCCTTCAGAAGCCTCTGGTTTTTCTTTACGTTTATCCTTCAGAAACCTCTGGTTTTACTGTACGTTTATCCTTCAGAAGCCTCTGGTTTTACTGTACGTTTATCCTTCAGAAGCCCCTGTTTTTACTGTACGTTTATCTTTCAGTAGCCTCTGGTTTTACTTTACGTTTATCTTCAGAAGCCCCTGTTTTTACTGTACGTTTATCCTTCAGAAGCCTCTGGTTTTACTGTACGTTTATCCTTCAGAAGCCCCTGGTTTTACTGTTCGTTTACCTTTCAGAAGCCTCTGGTTTTACTGTACGTTTATCCTTCAGAAGCCTCCGGTTTTACTTTACGTTTATCCTTCAGAAGCCTCTGGTTTTACTTTACGTGTATCCTTCAGACGCCTCTGGTTTTACTTTACGTTTATTCTTCAGAAGCCCCTGGTTTTATTTTACGTTTATCCTTTACGAGCCACTGGTTTTACTTTACGTTTATCCTTCAGAAGCCTCTGGTTTTACTTTACGTTTATCCTTCAGAAGCCTCTGGTTTTACTTTACGTGTATCCTTCAGAAGACTCTGGTTTTACTTTACTTTTATTCTTCAGAAGCCCCTGGTTTTACTTTACTTTTACATTCACAAGCCTTTGGTGTTACTTTAATCCTTTTGGAGCCTGGCTCTGGTTTTCTTTTCGGGAACCTCTGGTTTTATGCCTATCCTTCACGTACCTCTATTGTTGTCACTTGTCATTCAGAAACTTCTTCCGTTTAAATAAAAATAATCGGGGTCACCCTGGACTCGTATTCATGAAACTGTTCTTGTGCTCAAGTATGCATTTTGTGCTCAGAACAGCTTTCTTGTAACTTTTATAAATCACATGACACCGAAATCATCCAAACCGGAAATTTGGATCGATTGACCATACGTAACATATCTATTTATACATACATGTACAATTGTTATATTGAGTAAATATAAATATTGATTACACTCACACCGACAGCTAACAGAGAAATTTAAATTAAAATACAAATTTTCAACAATCCTGTCTTTCCTTTCTGATAATTGTAATATGTGTGTCAATAAATATTTTTGTTTTTGTCATGTTATGTATATATTGTAACTGTATTGTATATTAATGAAAAAATAAATGGTTTCCCTGATTTTACGTGTGTACATATATTACGAGGCCTCTCATTTGGTTTTAACCCTCCAAGGACCGCTGATTTTATGTTTTTCCTTCAGAGGCCGCTGATTGTACTTTTTATCTTTCCGAAGCGTCTGGCTTTTTCGTTTGTCCTCAAGGGACCTTCATTGTACGTTCGTTTATCCTTCAGGGGCATTTGAATTTATGTTTTCCCTTCAAAAGCCTCTGGTTTTCTTCAAATATGTCCGGACTTTTACATGTATTTTGTTAATGTAATCCTTCTATACCTGTTTTCTCCCCTTGTCGATTTCGGTGTTTTCGATGATTTTGTTTGTGTGTATTTACACAATGGTTTAAAGATATAATTATATACTATTTTCTATTACTTTATGATCGCATTTGATGTATATTTATCTTAATTTCCTGTATTTTTCACTTCCAATCATGACCTAGAAAGTCACGCGTGTGTATGTAATGCACGAGATGTCAGTGAACGTGAACAGGTAAGAAAGAAGTGTAAGAGACTGACTTGTGTTGTAAATGGGACTGATGAAATGTGTTTAGTTACAAAATATAAGGGATGTGAATGCATTATCATTGTGACTATATATTTACTAATGATATATTAAAGCTAGAGAAGTATAAAGGGAAAATGAGCCTATATCTGAGCACACACAAAAATAAAAGGTTTTGAAAAATGCTTATAAAAACTGCAAATGCCCAATAATATTTTAAAAATATACCTTGCTCAGAATTAGGTAATGTTTGACATTTTGTTAAGAATATGGCTTTGTCTTAGAGCTGATGAGATAATTTATATTATATTCTGTTTTTTTACAATCGCTGGCATACTAAATCAAATTAATATATATACATTTGATGACATCAGCGCTTAAAAACACCAGAAAAAAACATAACATAATCGAACAATATCATTTTAATTTAATTTCATATTTAACAATTCCAAATAATATATTTTTAGTAATGTCAACAATAAAATCATACATCAATTATGATAAATAACAGTAGTAAATAGTATTTAAAGAAAATAGCTGAAACATAACAGATTATCAATAGCATACATATCAAAAATTCACAGATGAAACAGACACGTGCACCGAGTTTTGATTTTTTTTAAACGTTTACAATTGTACCTTTGAAAAGTCAATTATTGTAATGAAAGTAAAGCGAAATAGATAAAGTTGTCTCCCTTTACCTGTGTTAAAATTGAAGCATTATCTCGTGTATATATATTACAAACACGTAAATACCCTGAAGCAAATCAAAATGAAAAGTTCATATTTATTGATAACAGATAATGTTACTTATATTATTCTACAAATTGTGAGACTATTAAGTAATACTTGTATGCATTCACTACATCCGGGTTACTCAGACACTGTTATGTTCTTATGTGTACAAATTGATAAATGCAACATTATGATCTTTTACAGCAGTTAGAACAACAAGCTATCCACGATATCTGAGGATAAAACCAAAAACTAAATTTAGCCAGAAATATGAGTCATTATAGTATATCCCGAATAAAACATTAAAAATATTTAAAAGTACGATTGTTTTTATGTCGTGTACTCTTCGGTAACTGTGTCAATCTTCGGGAAAATGTATATCTGTACGACGTATTACAATGTAACTAAAAGAGGAACTTGGAAATTAATACAAGATAAATGCTAGTTCATACAGTTACATTTATGTAACCACGTGTATTTGCATTTAGCGTGTACATGTGTTTGTTTCTGTATTTAAATGGACTAATAATATACCTGGTAATACGCTGTACAAATTTAAATAGTAACAACTTCTCCTAGTCTATATTTTTTTTATCTAGTTTAATAAGTCTAATATAAATAGCAGTAATACATACACTTTATCAAATCTTTGGTATCAACGTGATGAATTTGGCACATAGGGGCTAATCATATAATCTAGCATGTATCAGATTGTTCATCCGACATCATCAGACGCATAAAGCACTTAGTAGTTCAGTTAGTATAAAAGAAATACCTAATTGCACGAATCAGTATTTGTTCACGTAGACCCTAAATCTAAGGTGTTTTCTGTACTACCTTACACAACTGTGTAGTGGAATTTCAATTCGCACAATACCTCTTAAACATATACGCAGTGAATCACTACATATATAGGAAATAAAATAAAAAAAATCGAAAATATTTCGGCATTATAACTGTCAACAACATTAATTCATTCTTAAACACATACAAACTCGGTCTACTATCTTCATGTTCCCATAGCAACATATATGATAACACCAAAATAACGCTACAAACAGACGGGAGACATCTGAGGTAAAAAGCATAGAACACATGCTGAACGATGTCAATCATAATCGTGACATTTTATCACACACTGACCGAAATATTTGCATAATAGTATGACGTCATAGGAAAATAATTATATGTGCCATTTTATCTGGTAGTGCCTCATTACATTCATGTGAATATCCTTATTACCAATACATACAACGGGGCTTCGTACATTAAAGATTTACAATGTTCAAGAAAGTATATTAAACGATGATGTAATAATTTCTGTCTGTTTATTCAAACTAGCGTAGTATAAGCCACTTTTTGACATTGACAATTGATAACAATCATGCGTATTCTATAACAAGATTGTCATACACACCATAATTCCGTCTTTTCGTATTGCAGAGTTATCTGCTCTTGTGAGCAGGTATTGATTGTTACGTCATGTGTTTATAAGAGGAACGTCATAAATCGTTGATAAAACGACGTTATTTCCTCACACAAACTAACGACGTTACAATCAATACCAGCTCACAAGAGCAGATAACTCTGCAATACGAAAAGACGGAATAACGCTTTATAATGTAACTGCAACTTTAAACGAAATATCTTGCAAAGATGCGAATGTATCTACAGAACAGGGGAGATAACCGTCGTATATGTTCTAGGACATGACAGATAGATATAATATAAAATATAATTGATCACTTTCCCTAGTTATTCTTTCCCCTCTCTGCGTTTTGAATGTTTCTTAAATACTCTGATTTGGAGGTGGATTTGTACAAGACTAAGTATACATCAACAAAATAGAACATACTATAATCTGATGGCACAACTATAGATTATGTTGGAAATACTGAACAATGTTATTCATTAATTTTCCATGAACATCATAATGAAGCATTAAAGCAAAGCCGTGTTCGTACCCGTCATAATGATCGTGTTTACAACTTAGTTGTAGAGACTTGAGGCGGTCAGCAAGGATCCAACCGTCATCACGTAGACAGTCGTACTCAGCCGTCATGATATATGTCTTTGGCAAGTTCCGTAACTCTTCGTCTGAGGCCATCAGCGGGGCATAAAACGGGTTTGTTATGATGCTTTCAATTTCGTTAGCGGTGTTTCCATTCTCTGTATTCCATACTGCAGGGTTTTTATCTTTGACGAGATACTTCGAGGGTAAATGCTTGTGGTTTACGTATTCAGCGTACTTGGAATCCTTCAGAGCCAGTGTTGTGTGGTTGTTCACGTAAAAATCTGACGTGTATCCCTCGTGTCCGAAAGCGTATAGCTGCCAGTATCGTACAAGGATCTCCTTGGTGGCAAACGAGGGACACTTGCGCAGCTTTTGACTGTACTGTTGGTAAGAGGGTGTGTTGAAATCCATAGCCTGCAGGGCTGGGTAAAGCAGAGCCTGGACCTTGAGTTTTGGAAGCTGAGTTTCAGCCACCATTCTCAGAGACACGGCCATTGCTAAATTACCGCCTGCACTGTCACCTACGTGGGGGGAAGGCAATTTTAGTGCGTGCATATAAAAGAAAGTGTTTGGATTTATCATTATTACTATTTTGCATATCTTTTAAAATAAAGACTTTTTATTTTGATAAATTTATTAACCTCCTGTATCAATAATATACATACTATGGATTGATTATCACAAGATCAAGCAAAACAACATATATGAAATAACTGTTAATTAAAAAAACAATACCATATACCGTGTAAATTATATAACCACTGTTAACTACCTACCCATCACAGCCACTCTCGAGCTGTCCACGCCAAGTCTCTTCGCGTTCTGTATAATGTATTTCGTGGCAGTAACGCAGTCGTCAAGTGGAACAGGGAAACGGTGTTCAGGGGACAGTCTGTACCTGTTAGAACAGTTCAATATTCTATAAAATATCACACCCACTAATATATTCAGACTTTCACTATCTCCTTTAGGTATTTTTTTAAGGTAGATTTCACTGTACGTATAGCAACTCGATAATGGTTGTATCATGACCTATCTGCATCGTATAGCAACTCGATAATGGTTGTATCATGACCTATCTGCATCTTCTGTCCTGTCTTATGCAAGGTAATCTTTGCGGCTGTGTTATGACCGAAAACCATCGAAAATAGTGTGTATCTGAGAACATAATCACATATTATGAATGATACATTGCAGGAACATTTTTACATCGTGACTAATTCTGAGAACAAAAAGTGAAATAAGGTTTCAATATTTGCCCCTTTAACGACTGCCGACGCCTACTGAGTTTAGGTCCTCAGGACATTAGAATAGATATACTTACTCTACTGAAACCACGATCGCCTCGGTCTTGAGAGCCAGCTCTATGGTAAAGGCATGGTAGGCATCTATCAAATAAATGTAGTCTTCGAATTAGTATACAAATCCCGATAGACATATATGTCTTAGGATTGATAAGGTTTTCATATTATGAAAAATTGGAATTGAATCTGTTTCATTATAAAAAATTAGAACAAAATATGAGATATTCAAAAAGTAGAAATATTTCAGACCTATTTGCATTTCAAATGAGTTATTGAAGGTTTACAAATTTTAACGGTTCAGTTCCATTTGTGTGTCTAGGTTTATCTATGAATGGAGTCACTGTATATATTTTCGTTTGGTGTACCTACATCTGTACTTGAAACACAACTGTCTATGTATTTCAATTAGTTGGATTTTGGTATGTTGATGATCCATGAACAATATCAGATGTGGTATTAATATTCATTGTGACTTACCGACACTAAGTAGAGCCCACCCCCCGCCGTGGATATGTACGACACCGGGAAGTAATGTCTTGGTGCTTGTCGGCTTATATACCCGCACAGGTACTCCGTCAAACGTCTCATCTGTTACCTAAGTCAAGGCGTTCAGATATCTCAATGTAAACTTAAAACTTAACCATGGCATAAATAATACGAATATGTCTTGTAGATGTTGTCAAAACTGCAATTGCCATACGAGGGCATTCTCCGCCTTACTTTAAGATATTAACTATACATTACTAATAGATATTTTAGATTATATAGAAAAATCTGAAGGTTTTAACTGTATTGTACCACAAATTACATTATGTATCATTGATTTCCTGCAATTCTAGTATAATTGGTTAATATGGCACTGTGTACAGTGACAGTGCCCTAACCAAACACTAGATCTACCATGTTAAAACCTCTGATATTCCAATGCTAATCTCTATGCATATATATATATATATATATATATATATAACTGGCTTATTGGTTCGGCCTACCCTAAACTGTATCTACCTCAACTTAGTATATTAATCTTTAATTTACATGCAGTACATGTATATGTTTGAATGTTTGTCTATCTACATGGAAAGGGCTTTTATAGGCAATGTTTATGCCCAATCCAATTGCTAATTGCAACAATAACATTATTTGGAAATGAAAAAGATAGTTAAGCATGCATATACGATTTAATACAAACATCGTCAATAGGCTGTTTTTCATTCACATCCGTACGATGTTTGGAACATGTTTTGATATAAGAAATGATGCGTTCATTGTCAATAAAGAGGTTTATGTTCTTACCTGTACTTTTTGCCGGATGTCTGACTGCAGTGAGGCAGTGTTGAGGTGTTTTATACTTTCACTCAGAACACGCGTTATGTTAACAGATGACGCTATTCCAAGGAGCTGGCCCAGAAAACTCTGTCAGCGTGGAATACAAATGATATAATCAGGTGTTAACTATTAAAAGTTCACAATCAATAATATCAATACGAGCCTGCGTTTTCTACAGGATAGCTGAAACTCCACATTGGTAATGCACCATGATCTTCAATATCGCATTATTTATGGGATGACATATCTATTTTATAAACATTGGATTATTTGATAAGAAGAATATAAGCATGCCATATTTAGTAATATTGTTTTGGATTGAACAATTATATGAGACCTGATAACGACTCTGGGTTTTGCTGCGGGTAAGTTATGCTATTTTGTTTTGTTGTCATCGCAATTTCCGTATCGGCGTTTAATTTCGATTGCGCCCTTGTATTAATATTTACTTATAGTTTCATATCACAACCACAAGGCATAATGAGCATATTAAAATAATAATTGACGTTCATAACACAAACACACACAATATATATAAACAATATTCCTATTTGGAATTTTTTTTTCTCACAAAGAATTTTAAAAACAAAAAAAGGCAATAAAGACTTTTCCACACTAAAGCATGGCAGATACGCTTACCAAGTCGTTGATAATTCTAACAGAAGCTGACGTAATTCTTTGTTTCCATGGTTCCGCAGCTTCGTTCGGGAATGGGGTATGAAGATAGAATGCCAGTGTAATGAGGATGCCTCCCCACAACAGGTACGTATTCCGGCTGATTCCGGCCATCTTGGATGCTCCGGACAATCGGATCTCTACCAACGCCCTGGTCAAGAGCTGCACGCTAGCGTGACCTGGTATAACATAAGAATATTATTCCATTATATTTCATTTTGTTTCTTTACTTAACATTAGTTAATTATACAATATCAATGCCTTGTTGTGCTTGAATGATCTGTTAATTTGCTAAGATTTATTTATCTAATAACATCTTTATTAGCAAGCGTGAAAAGGCGTTAAACCGGTTTAATATACTCCCACTTCTTTCTTTTTCTTTCTAGTACAAAGATGTTTATGTGATGACTGCAGGGAGATACGCAACATCAACGTGGGTGCACTGTTCGAGAGTAACTACATTTTAATAAAGTATGCCAAAAGCGGGGGCCGCCTAAAATTTGTGTATCTAATCATCCCACGCCCGTCAGCTGTAAGTATGTACTGCACTAATTGTACGGAAACACTGTGCCTCTGGGGAGTTCGTCATCGTTTTAAAGATTAATAAAGTCTATCATATGTAGGCAAGGGAAACATGGAATTTCTGCCCAAACGTTAGAAATTGGATCAAAATCGAGGTTTCAAAGCTTCGAAAACATGTATAATCATCGTCTATTTATGTGTCATGATATGTCAGGGATATATTTTTAATCGACTTTGACTTTGAGAAACGATAATGTAATTACTCGAAGATAAAACAAAAACTAACCAAGATATGCTTTAAAAGAACATTTACGGTATGAGCCAACAAGGAACTGTGCATTTCAAACTGAAAAGATTTTTTTTTTGTACTTTAGGTTTTCGGTATACCATATTAAACACATGTATCTGTCACAAGTAGAGGTGAAAGAAGTCTAATTAAAATCAACATACATTGTTATAGATGATAATTAATCGATAGGTATGCCAAGAACAAAACTTATTAAGGAATAGAAATAATTAATAGATGCCGTTTGTGACGTGAACATGTGCAACTGACAAAAACCTTTCAACTTTAATGTCATCTGTGGAAATTAATTTGAGGTAGAGCAAAGAGTAATCGACTTGGGAGTAATTGAGGTTAAATGAGGCCCGAACAGGAAAACACGGTAATAAATGTGATTATAGCAGGTACTTGGTGTTGTTAAGATGTACATATTGACGTCGAGGGAAAACACAGAGGCAAAAGTGAGCCTGTCTATATAGACATCTAAGAGAAGAAAAAAATAGAATGTTTAAACAAGATCTTTTTATATAGATTTTTATCAAAGTGATAAAACACTTTGTATTTAACAAGGACAAGTTAATTTAAAACAATAGTCCTGGTCAAACAACAAATTTGCATATCGATGATACCGTGATATGGCTGGGAATATTAACTTAAAAGATAATGAAACAGGCGTAATCTGAATATACCTAGTACACGGACGCCTTCACTTTGATGATGGCTAACTGTAACAGCTACGGCGACCACACCCTATTACCTGGTTACACACGTAACCTTAACTACCATTATAAATGGGTTTTGTACCGTCTCTGATATTATTAACTTTTTGTACGCCAAGGTCAGGTGAACACTCTTAATATCTTGTTTATTTATTTTTAACCGTGTGGTTGCTTGTAAACAACCATGGCGTAACGTTTGTATATACATCGCGTCAGTAATTATAAATGCGAGTTAAATGGTCCCTTGAAGTAAATCGCACTTACAAGTATTTCCTCCATACACATATGCAATTTAACAGTACATTTAAGATCGCTCAAGGTCAAAATAAATTGGTCATGAATTTATCTCTCAAGGGTTGTCAGGTAACTCACACGTGTTTTTTCAACACGTATTATGTCGTTTAAATAATGACGTAAGATTTGATACAAGCTAACTATGAAATGTAATTGAGGATGACTTTCGGACTTAACGGAGAAATATTCTGGACTTTTCAAAATGTATCCGTGTGTTCAGTACAAAGTCGAGGACCTAACTGGCTACAAAATACATTTGCAACATATTTACTACACACACTACTGTGTACACAACAGAGAAATACTGGGATCATCTCACATGTAATTGAAAATAAAAACAGATGAAAACGATATCCGAAAAAGTTGCCTCTTTGGTAAATTTGTTATCGCTGTTAAAATGTCCAAATAACATCTGAAATATAATCATTACTAAATTTATCAAAATGTCTTTGTGATAACACAAAAAATATCTTCATAAATAATGAATACGAATTCAAATAGGATATACCTAGCATGATTAGAATGTATAAAACATCATTAAGGTATTAAAGTGGTACCATACACAATAAGGGCCGTAAGTGTTACAGGTAACACATAATACAGTTATAATACCGGTATTATACAGACGACGATTCGCACCACAGTTGTTATAGTAGTGACGTACGTATTATTGCTGACCCGTACCACAGTTGTTATAGTAGTAACGTACGTATTATTGCTGACCCGTACCACAGTTACGGATAAAATAAAGGGCCAGTCGGGCGGCGTAGTGGATAACGCACCCGCAATTCACTAAGACGGCCGGGATTCGAATTCCCGTTCGGACGTGAAAAGATAATGAGTCATCTGCCTTACCGCATGGGTTTTCTCCGAGTACTCCAGTTTCCTCTCATATTAAGACCCCCCCCCCCCCCCCCCCCCCCCCCCCCGCGCTAACATGCGGGTCAACAAGAGTTTGTAAGAAAGTTGTGAAATAGATAAAGTTTATATTCAAAAACTTAAAACATTATGAAGAAAAAAATATAAAAAATATAATATCATTCATAAGAAATATTAAACTGCAATTCAAAACAGGGAAATGAAATAACGTCAAATTACAAAAACTAAATCGAAACTCCAATTATCAAGCGTCATCTTGAGGATGACTAAATACAATTTTGTCAGCTGTAAATGAGTAATTAATGTGGTAACTGTATGTGTTTATGCTTTCCCGGCAGAATATACCGACATGTAAATAATATATAAGCATACAGCCTTTAAACGTTTAACTTACTAATTGACATGACGTCCAATGTCACTATCGTCCGCTCCATTATTGCGGCTTCAGACATCTTCAGTGCCAAGTGGTGTAAGTTCACTGAACTTAATTTCCAAAATCTGCTGAACAATACATGCACTTTGTATAAAATACAAACGTGCTTAATATTGTATTCGAACAAGTTATAAATTGTGATGTAAGCTGATTTGAAATCAATCACTTTCAGTCAACACACCACGGCACCAAGGAGACGTCGACCATATCCCACTCTACCGCTAGACAGTTTGATTAATATTTAAGTCGCGGGCGCAATATGTATATAATTGACAGGCTAATATGACTCGTAAGGTGGGAATGTTGATCAGAAATTCACACATGGATGCGTTCGTTGCCACCTTCGATTCATGAATCGTATTATTCACCGGTCGCACTCCAAAAACTGTCAAGGGTTATCCAGTAATACATGCTAAATGATGTGGTGTTCACCGCTGTTCACGGTTTCAATTTAATAGTAATTTGATGATTTCTAGATAATTTCTTATTTAATTGACTGATACTTCCTTGTTGTCAAATTGCCAAAATGTTGTGGGTTTTTTTACGAATATCCATAAGTCATGCCTATTTCTTCTAAATGTATCCGATAATGATAGAGAATCTTAAACTGTAATTTATTGAAAAATAAAGCTTTGGAACCATGAAGTACATGCAGTTATGTTGTCATGATTTAAATTTGTATAATTATGTCGACTTCCTTGTGAGCAAGTTGTAGAAACGGATTCGCAGTTTTTTTCCTGGTCGACGTCCGGGTCAATAATGCATTGTTATAAGGTCACACTGATATAAATACACTCAACACAATATCTGAGAACATTCGAATATACATCCTGATTGAATAAACGGAAACACTCGTATTGATTTACTAGTTTTTTCTCTTTGAGAATGTTCTGTCCTTGGCTCAATAATTAAGCAGCATATTTAGATTGACACGTAATTTTACGCGAAAACATCTTTACCTAGATACAATTTATATAAAACTTGTTTCAACACAATCATAATGACGCACGCTGCACTCACAAGTCACATCTTTTACAAAATAAAAACGTAAAAAAGATGAATATGAAATATTTCGTCATAGTTCCTTTAAGGTAATTGTTTCTCTGGCAATAATATACTTCATAATTTCTTCATGACATTTGTAGTTAAATTAAAGTACGACTTTATCCTCATTAAATATTTCTTATGTGTTTGTATTATGATGTGTTTATAGTAGAAAAGGAAAAGCTTAAGATCTCAAACGTTTTAATATTAACAGCATTGTAATTATTCAATGGTCTTATAATTAACAAGGGACAGAAACCATGATTATGCAGTGGTGTTGTCGCCAAATACAAATCATTGTTTTCGAAATGCAGGGGAACATCTCATTTCAAAAACCGTGCTTTCTATGTCACTACCCCATTTCTTTCTTTGTCAACTTGGCATTACTTGAATTTGACCTTGGTTTGCATGGCGTTGTCGTCCATGATGCCGAAGACGCTTAGATTTTCGTAAGAGTCCGTCGTATTTTCATTGAACTTTTTCAAGGAATTTTGTATCTTACCCGAGTTTCATAGAGTTTGGTTGCAGATTACGATTCTGTTTAAAATGTGAGTGGTTCACAACAACAACACAATCCAGTACCAAAGGAAGACACATGTTTTATAGAGTTGTGCTACCTGATTTGTACAGGTTGTGTTCAACTATCTAAGCAAGTCTATGATCGACTAAAGAAATCCTTACGAAAACTCCCCTAAATGCATTGTTTGACAAGTTCACTGCAAACCACAACGACGCCAAAATTGCAGGTGACATCATATTTCGCCTGCAGTCTATCATTACTCAATCAATTTTTCCTAATTGTTTGCCTGATGGACAAACTGCAGCCCTAACAAACCAGCAAGCAAGATGCGGGACATACTTAAGCCTGACTACAATTATCTGTAAGGTTGACCTCCGACTATCATATTGATTACAGGTGTGTCGATACGTTAGCATACCTACACAATAAATGTAACCGATCAGTATGAATATTCAAAAGAAAGGTCAACGCGACCGGTCATTTAT